AACAAAAACTAACAGCAACAACAACGACAACAAAAACAGCAGCAACAACAGAAACAACAATAACAACAAAAACTAACAGCAACAACAACGACAACGACAACAACAACAACAACAGCAGAAGACAACAACATCAATACAAAAGGCCCGATTTAGTAGCAAAGAAATCGTTGCTATTTTCCATTAATACTTGATTAACATTTTAGGATCCCTAAGGTAACTATGTGATCTACCCACGGTTGAATTTTTATTCCATTTAACATAAGATAAATTTTGTAATTTCGGAGTAGTTGAAATTCCTCCTCGAAAATTTGGAACTAGCCAATTATTATTCATACTTTTAGCGAACCATTTAAAACGTTTGTAAGAGATGTCGGTCAAGCTATCTTTGATTTTATTATTATTATTGCTGTTGTTATGAAAGTGCACGATGCACAGAATTTAGTTGAGTTAAGTAGTTGATGAGTTGATTTCAGTTGTAAACAGGACAAATGAAGGAAAGCCGCATACATATATACAAGAAGAAACTTCGTATCACGAAGGAAAAGAACTAGTTACCTCACATAAGGAAAATCCCCCTCGTGACAAGACTGAGCAGCGCAGAAATGGGGGATTCCTTAATGAATATTGATTCTTCTCAGGTGAAAAATTCACATTTGAATTAGAAAAAAATACCTTGAAAAGCTATACTGTGTGGTTTGAGGGTTTCTACAGGTTTTATTTCAAATTGTGTATTTTTGTAAATCATGTGATCTCTCAAAATTCCCCTTCTCATGTTATAAAATTTGCCAGATATCTGGCGCACTTACAATGTCTTATCTCTTGGCTTTCTCAAGTCGCGTAGTAGTCGTTGTCGATTATTCACGTAGATGGATATCTGGTTTCTGTAATATGTGGCAGCTGTGATGTTTAGCTGGAAATGGAAGATACGAATTGAGTTGTTGATCGATAGCACATCACAATTTAACACAAAAATCAAGTACTTACGCCTCTGTACTTTTCAAATAAGGAAGCCAATTTTGTGCTGTTCAACATGTAACTGGGAAAACCGAAATTCAAGCTCATACAGTCAGCCTGTTGAACAGCAAGAAGAAAAAGAAATTAAACAATCCAAGTCAGGACACAAATAACTTGGTAGATGTTTGAACCCTGGAACAGCTTCTGGGCCGATAAGTCACGGTGCAGATAAATTTTTTTTGCTGACAAAATAAAGCCCAGAGCAGGTTAACCTCTGGATGGATATAACTCATAGCATGGTTAACTCACACATCCACCCCTGAATCAACCTCTGGACGGATATAAATAAGAGCATGGATAACTTACAGATCGATGAAATAAGGTAACGAGTAAAGAGGCCAAGAGGAAAATAAAATCATTATTGTGTGCGATAGATGGTAGAACACATTTAACAGTTTCTAGACATCAACGGCTCAAAACTCAATTGCTGACGCCTGAACTCGTTTCCTTTGGCAGGAATTCTGGGGGCGACCAAACACTTACATATCACTTTAGGTACGAAAGGTTTGAAAAACGTAAATTATTCAAGGAAACAGAGCAAAATAACAAATTGATACTTGAACGCAGAGAACTGTAAACAGAATGTAAGCTTCAAAAAAGCACTATTGGAAGAATGTTGGTGGTTTTTGAACATTTTCCATGTTTCGACCGAATTCAATCCTAAATATCTTGTAATCTATACGAGTCTCATATTATAAGTAACCTTCCACAGTACTACAAATGCAATTAGACTGCCGAATGTCTTTGACCTTTCTCTTATATTTAGAGACATAGATCGTTATTGAATTATGTACGACACCTCAAAACGCAAGGAAAGTAGCGGTAAAGACATTTTGAAGTTAAAATATGGCGCATGCGCATGCAAACTGTAGACATGCTTTGATCAAATTAAGCTTGTCTTTGCATTACTTGCCTACCTTTTGATATAATCGACTTTTAGTTGCACCATCTATCCAGGTTAGCAAGTTGAGGTTGTCTTTAAAAGCTTGAATCTGTTTCTTCGTAATTTGTTTTGCCTTTATACATAGAATAATATACAAATTTAGATATTGCCGGTGGGGCTATATTTAGCCACAGGTAGCCTAATTGAGATAATAATAAAATAGGGGAGCATAAAATCGAGAAACTATCGATGTTTCTCGACATCAATGTAATACGAACCAGTGAAAAATTAAACAAGAATAAAAAACAGGTTTTTTACGATCACTTACCAAGCTTATTTGCTTTGCAAGTTGTGCTTGATGTTCCTGGATATATGCAGCGGTTAATACGTCATCAAAAGCTTCAGGTGCTGAGTAAAAACACGTTTTCCAACGCTCTTCTTCAAATGTTATACCATATACTGCTTGGCCAAACCTTCCTAGAGCGTCCCTGAAAGGCTTAGAAAGCCACCCGATCTCGTACTGTATCACGTACCATACCATATAGTTTGCCAGTATCCTAAACCAGAATAAAAACTACATGAAGAAGACTTAGTTCAATTGTACTGTTTACTACAATTGAAAAGTTGACGATCGATCCTGGCAGAATTTAGAGGAGGACCCACAATTTCATGCGGGAAATGCAAGGTCATCAGTCTAAAAGTAATTCAGCAAGGTTAGCAAGTCTACATTTTATGATATTTAAAATCTGAATTTTGAAATTAATACATATCAGGAGGCCTGCAGCCATGTGGCCACTCCTTAACTAATTATCATAATATAACATGGTTTACTAATAACCCACCTCTTTGGCGTGTTCTGTATAATTTTCATCGCATTCTTTAGGTAGGACAATATATGCAGGATGATTGGCTCACTTTTAGGAATCGTAGATGGTTCAAACAGTTTATTTAAGTAAATAAACCAGTTAAGCTAAAGGAAAATACAACCCGTAAAGTATGAAGTTTTCATTTCCAGTTTATAATCTCGTGAACATTGTACTCTTTTGAACCCTCTTTCTGGTAAACGAAGCTTTGAGTTCAATTGCATCGAGTGATCAAGTCAAATATAAATTTTATTAATACTCGATTGCCTCAAGGTGAGTGTCCTCCCTCCGCTTTAAAAAATATAAAACAACGCATACTCTTTTTGAAAGCGAAATTAAGCTAAGTGATTTGGCGCTTAATATGTATAGTTTGAAAAACATTCGTTAGGTTGTAATTATCTTTTATAGTGTTATGTTTGCCAGTAATGCTTTAATGACATGGCTCCGAGATTTCTGTGCCAATAATGCTTTTGTGACATGGCTCAAAAATTTCTGTGCCAGTGCCTTGCTGGAAAAATTGCAATGGAAGCCAAATGCAAACATTAATTCAAATTAAAAGGAAGGAAAATAAGAAAGTAAAGTTTTTACGTCTCGAGTTTTATAAAATGTATGTTTATATTGTGACAAATAAACTAAACCAAACTAAACTAAACTAAAATCAGAGAGCTGGAACGGGACGTCACGAATGGAACAATACTGTACCAGCCATTTGCCCAGAGACGCCCCCTTCCTCCTACTTTTAAATTCAATTTTAATAATAACACTTAAATTGCGGTTCTTGTTTTGCGGAATGTTTGCAATACGTATGACAAAGCAAAATCAAGGTAATTGCGAATTGAAGACTGAGCCAAAAATTACCTCAGGCACTTCCATTTGAAGTTGTTCAACAGTTTTGGTGTCCGGTTCATATGGTCGCCATTCTGCTTCAGTTAAAGTTACCTAACAAGCATAAAGCATTAGAGTTTGAGAGTAATTTAAACTATAAACTGAATTTAAAGCTTTTTGTGCATGTTTTGGCACGACCATAAAGATAAAAATGATCATAAAAATTTACTCACGTTTGCAAGTTGGGCTTCCAAACGAATGATCTCGTCAGCTTTCTTGGCAGTGGTGTTGACGTTACCACCCAACAAAACCACGATATCAATGATCAGCTGCCTGTATGCTAACACTGCCTAGAAAAAAATAATTTCTTTAAAGTGCCTTCTAACAATATTCACAATATTTATTACACATGAAGTAAGATGTTGAAAAGCCCGAAAATATTTTATAGTTTGAGTGCAGCTTCTTGAAGTTATAAAGCTTTTTCCATGCCATATGCTAATGCTGTGACGTATGAGGAGTAATCATTAAATATGCAAAACAATACTGGCACAGATAAATTAAATTTGAAATCCGTCATTGTTTTCCCCAATGTTCTTATAAAAGTTATTTCAAGTTAGTTTTCACGCCGGTGTTTAGAATTACAAGGAACAACAAATACCCATAAATACCTCCTCATACGTCACAGAATTAGCATATGACATGGAAAAAGCTTAAGTTGGTCGTGGAAAAGGATATTTACATTTTGTTGAATGGCTCTCATGACTAGATGAAGTTTTTATAGCCAAGCCTGCATGAAAAAACTCAAAACTTTTTATCATTGATCCTGTGCAGATCTAAAATGCGGCGTCTGGCAAAGATATAAAAGACTGCAAGGAAAACCTCACATTTGGCAAAATAACTAATATAAGTAAGTAAATTTTTGTAATTAAACTATAGAATTCACAAGAGAAAAATAAAAGTTGATAACTTCAAAAATGTAATGGTATTTTCATGGGCAAAGAGTAAAAAAACACATACGCTTTATAATATTTATGAGAATAACAGTTTTACATATCATCTTCAGATAATGTTCAACGCCATCTAAGCTATGTTTAAACTAAACCCTTAACAATCTGTTTCGTTTGAGTTGGTTTTGCAAGCGCGAACTAAAACCGTCACGTGCGCTCGTGGTTCCACTTGAAAATTTATGAGCGATTAATTGTTAAGCATTATACAGAAAAGGACCAAAGTTTATGCAAACCGCAGTAAATATATTGACTATGATTGGAGAAATATGCCTTTAAGAAGTGATGACCAGAGCAAACGGTCCCGTTTAAAAGGGTAACTTTTTGAGTCAGAAATTAGTTCACAACGATCCTAACCCGGAGCTCAATATCTCAGAAATTACTTATCCGCCGAAACTTCCATTGATTTCTCAATATTAATAAAACTGTTCGAAAGAGGAAGGTTTGCTCTAATAGTTTAGAGAAAGTAAATAGTACATACATTCTCGCCTTTATAAACAACGCTCCGGTCTACGGTCTCCGGTACTATATTTATGGTTGGATCAGAGTTTCTGAATAATGCTGTATATAACCATACATTTTGAAAGAAGAGTGTGTACCTTTGATGATAGATTCAGAAAATGCTGTTTCATTACGGGTGGTTCAGTTTGTTTTATCTGCAGAGGATCAGAGCATTAAAATTATAAATCAATCATTAGACAAGGGTCACCAAAAAAAAAAAAAAAAAAAAAAAAAAAATTCAGTACGTTTATCGTTATTATTATATCATTATTATTATCGTCGTCGTCGTCGTCATTCTTGTTGTTTCATGGTGCATGGCAAGCTTCAAATGTTGTTGTAAAAGGTTTCTAGACATTTTATTTTTCAACTTAATCAGGTACTTACATTTATTGATTTATTTTTGTTTTCTTCGCTCATATCAAACTTTCCAAATAGAAAAGTTGTCCTTCCGCTCGAGACGTTTCTTTTACCATATAAGGAATGTACTTACCATATTTGGAAATTGGAATATAATTTTCTTCACTAAATAGGCGAATTTCTGRCTCAAAACTGCTCAAATTTACAGTAAATCGAGTGAAAACATCACTAACTAGACAGCCATCTTGGTTTTGGCCGAAAAAGGACTGGAAATGTGTAGGGGAGGGGAGCGTGGTTTGTCACCACAGGAAGCCCGCGAACGACAACAATTGTTTGATATGATTCCCACTTTGAAGAAAGGCCCTTCACTTTCTAGTTTATGAATAGAGAGAAGGGTCTCATTAAAATCCCACGTATTCTCATCCCAGTCTCCGCTCATGTCCCAACCTCCAAGTTCTCTAATACGTTCCCTCAGAGGTGCGTCACCAAGATTATCAATGACCGTTAAGTTCATGCACGATTTGTACAGATATGATGGCATTTGCTGTACTTCATTGCTTGCTCCGTTGACTCTTATTTTTCCCGTTTCTAATATCCTTCTTTTATATTTATCTGCTTTCAATTCGGCTATTTTAGTGAAAGAATAGTATGAGTAGCCTGGCGGTATAGGATTGTTTATCGGCCATCTCCCACAAGCGTACTCATAAAAGTCATCGCAAGGGTCCACGGCAAGGTTTATTGAACTATTGATTTGACTGGCTGCCTCAATGCATTCAGTGGTTTTACAAACCATGCTCGAGTGAGTGTTGGTTTTTCCCGTTGCCTGGGCATATATTGAGGATCGAATCTTGTTCCAACCATGTTCAAGAAAACGCCTCTTGTTCTGACTGGCCGCTACGTGGATCATGGATATCACAAGTAAGACCGCCAAGAAGCGAGAACAATAGATTTTCGACCATCGCTTGTTTTCTTGTCCCCCACCATCATTCATCATTCTTCTCATCACGATTACACTGTTTCTTGCTGCTTGTCTGTTAGGATACTAGCTGCCCTTCTCATCCATGCACTGCAGACTGTTCGATATCCGCTTGTTGTTTGAAACAGTTTTTAAATTACGTGATTTTCTTCACCAGTAAATTGAACTTGTATCCAACAGTATCCAACCTGTTGAAAAATGATGGTTTTTGTTTTATCTATATATTTCATTTGTTGCTTGAAATATCTTTTTTTTCATTGATAAAAAATTACCTGCTCCTGTCTTCCATTCTGTAAAGACTACCTTTTGGCTGCGATTCCTTGACTTTTAAAATATTCTTTCGTCTCTGTGTTTATCAGTGAATTGTAATCTTAACTAATGTTTTTGCTATAATTTTAACCATAACGTGACCATTACAAACATCAAAATGGCTATGCATCCCGCTTGGCTCAAAGCCCTTTATGAGAATCTGTCGTATGCTTATTTATTGTAGCTTTTTGTTGTTGTTTTTGTTGCCTATCATCTTCTTATTTTGCCTTTCTGTGAAACAAAAAAACTGTATAAGATGTTCTCAGACTTGTTTATATCCCAGAGTTTATTAGATCATTTATATAATCATAGGCACGCTTATCACTTACATGATCACAGGCAATCGCTGTCGGTAGGACTCAAGAGAAAAAAACCGGGTATCGAATAGACCAGTTTCGAATTCCAAATTACCGCTGTGTTCCTTGATTACAGACTCATTTGGGTTAGCCTAGCCTCGTATCAGTGTTTAAATATTCACAAATACCAACAGAAAAGTAAAGAATGCACAAGTTCAACAATAAAAACATTTTGAAACTCGACGGACCTTGACAAGAACACGTGAATATTCTGCACAAACTCGAGGTTAACCCTGTGCAAATGAGTCTGTAATCAAGACACAGCGGTAATTTGGAATTCGAAAGGGGTCTATTATATGAAGAATGCCATCGGTATTGGACACTACCAGCACAACATGGTGCCAGGAGTGGGACAGAAACCGATAAACTAGAAAATGTTAAAAAAATACAAAGATTATTAGCGCTAGCGCTAACACGTGTTATACGTGGATCGACCAGATACCAAAATAACTACAATCACCTGCACACAAAGCGTTGTCGGTGGGAGATCTGAAATCTGAAAACTGAGACATGAAACTGAATTATGGGATGAGAGCTATGGATTTGTATATCAATGAAAAGGGATGATGCCATTTTTAGAATCATTGATGCTATTTCTAACTCGTTACCATGCTCGCGCGATAATCACGCTTCCTTTAATGTCTCGTTTTAGAACACGAAAAGCGCCATATTTCGCTACGTCCACAACAAAAACACAGGCTTTGTTTTCCGCAAGACTGGAAGCCGTCTACCCTCAAGAAGTCAACCAATCAGGTTCCTCGTTCAAAATATTATGGACAACAACACGTATTTGGTGATTCATTTCATTTACTTTGGTAGTAAAAAATTTACAGTTTGATTTGATTTGAGATAATAGATCAAAAAGGAGAGCGAGTGTTTGATCAGGGCATCCAAATACCGAGAAACAGATGAAAGCACGAGGCCGTAGGCCGAGTGCTTTTATTGTTTTGAGGTGTTTGGATGCCCTGATCAAACACGAAGCACGAGTTTTTGAACTTACTTCTCAGCCTCATCATAATTCATTTGTTCTTGAATTTCCTGAGACTAAAAAAGTGATCAGTGTTTTGATCAGTGTCTTGATCCGTTTTTGATCAAGTATCAAGGTGCGTGCACGTGACTACAATGCAAAGTCGGCATTGGTCATTGACTTCATGAATTATTAATGAGTTTGAGAAAAAATGCATGAAGATGTGATAATTTTCTAAACAAAACTACCTTCACAAAGCCTCTTGTGGGCGTAAAAATATAATTCTTTTGTTCCTTGTTTATATCTTCAAGGAAAATAGCGTACGAATTGAGAAAGGAGTGAAAACTGAGATCGACCTAACGGAAGAGCACTGTACGGGGATGATAGTTGTAAAATAGGAGTTTTTTAATCAATGGAATTGAAGGGACATGTCCCTCCTTTGCAGTCCACCTCCTAATCCCAACCCAAGATTATTGAGGGCCGCTACTAGGCCAGAAGGTCAATTGAAGCAAGACACTAGTCATCTTTGAACATGCATTTTATTCATCTATAATGAATTCCTACATATTTAAATCCAAGCATATCTGGCGATTGCAGGATGGTGCGTACCGATTGTAAGAATTATCATTGATGGGATTAATATGCTGTTAGACCAATGGTCCTTCTTTACTCCACAGATAGCATTTGTTGATTGGATTCATTGGACTGTACTTTTTGCACTTGAATGCATTGGCGAACTCGCAGGAATTTGCCAACGAACCAATAATCCTGTTAAAATGAACAAAGGATCGTGATATCATGTTTGTTGATCCTAGTTGTAGGGTTAATTTCAATAATATTACCAGCCAATATACAAACCTGAATTTATCATCTGTATGACTTCCACTCTGAATCATGTCGTATCGATCTTGAAGAGTAGAGTTACTACAAAAGTGCTGTGTGTAGCAATAAAAAAATAAAATAAAATAAAATAAAATGAAGAATATATAAAAAAAGAGGAAACTGACATTTACACTTTAAAGTTACAAAACTATACTACGTAAATATACCATGGTGAACGATGGTGGCAAATAAACAACGTGGGCTTTAAAAAGACAGTTTTACCCAGATTGCCGATAGCAGCTCTAATCATAGGGTGAACAATAATGCAAGAAAGCACTTCACCGAGAATCAATTTAAAACTTAGGGTACGTACTTTCGTACACAGACCGACAGTAGGTATCCAAAAGATAGTTATAGAAACCTGGAGGTGTTAAAAAAAAAAAAAAAAAAAAAAAGATCCACATTAACCTGAGCAAATCCAATGTAGAAGAGCTGCTCATTGGTGTAATTCAGTCCTGGTAGCAACCATTTTTCACCCGGATTTTGGCTTACCCAATTGTAATACACCTGAAGGAAAATACATACTGTTTACAAACGTGTACGAACGAAATTGTAAGGCAAAAATGGCATTAAGCATAAAAGTGTTCGTCAAACTTTTCCAGCAAGAAAAATTTTGGTAGTCGATGGTTCAAACCAAGACTTTTTATTTGTTTTCTCCCATCATCTGTTTTGGCCGAAATCAATTTCTTCAGCTGGGGCGAAGAAAAGCTTTTCTTGTCCAATGTTTCCGTGCCCCCATATGAACGGTCGCCTGTCCCATCTCGTCACATAATTATGTTATTCAACAATTTCTTAATACATTCGGTACCTTGAGTGCTATTTTTAAAGCTCCATTGTCTGCAACATTTTCCTCAGCTGTATTCTTTCCGTTGATCTAAAGATAAACACAACATTTGATGATAACACAACATCCTTATCAGTACCATGGCTACCAAGACACATTATTATTTTCAGGTTTAAAGCATATAGTTTGTTTGAATTTTTCGATTAATTCTTACAGGCCATTTTCCTAATACTTTGTAGGCCGAATACTGCTTTTCAAAGCATTTTAGTCTTATATCAAATTCTTCAAGCGTACTATTTGACCACCAGCTTCTTTCTTTCCCATCCTTGTCATAGCGTCTACCTATGAACCAAATACGTGATGTTCAACATTACGATATGTTATTTTGAATAATTAGGGCATTGTTGATTTTATAATGCAATAGGCATAGTTGATTTTAAGGCCTGTTAAATGCCTGTTCGATGTATGCTGCGGCTCTAGCTTACAGTCCCCCCCCCCCCCCC